ACATAAATGAGGGTACTTCAAAAAGTTCATGGAAAAATGGAATTAAAAGATAAAATAAATACTGCCATGGACTTTTTAAAGACCCCTTGTACATGTTTACACAGGAGTTTATGAACACACACAGTAGGCTAGAGGCTCCATAAGAACAGGATAGGCTTAACTTAGTTTACCACTATATCTAATGCACCTATAACAATGTCTGACACACAGAAGGAAGATATCATGTATTTGTTAAATGAAGGAAGAAGTTTTGAATTTCTCTTGCCCACTGCTATCAGTCATAATGTAAATCTGTTCAGATCACATTAATCATCACTAAACATACATACATAGTATTTCCAGGCATTGTTTTAAGTACTTTAAAGATATTAGCTAATTTACTCTCAAACAATTCTATGAGGTAGATACTATTATTATTCCCATTTTACAGATGGGAAAACTAAAGCATAGATTGTCATGGGACTTCTCAAGGGCACACAGACAGCGGGAATCAGTTATGTATTCTTAACTACTGTGCTGTTACCTCAAGATGTTTAATTTTCACTGTCTTCAGAGAGCCAAATTCTTCCATTAGTGTCATAGTGTAGAGCATAGATAAGGATTAGATTATGGGAAGGTGGGGTGGGTAGGTGCTGCTCAATGACATAAGTGGAGACTAGTGAGATTTTCTATATTCCAACAAATTTTCCTTCTTAGTTTCTCCAGACATCTACAGTAGCTGTAGAGTGCAATGAGACAATCCTCAAGATGTCCAGAACGGGAAAATTAAAAAATTATTTCTTGTTGCTCTTTACCATGGCTTATATTAATGCATAGTTAAGAGGAAACTGAAAACAAGGAAATGAACCAGCCCTGTCAAGGGCGAATAAGGAAGCAGCCAGCAGTTCAGATGTGAGGCTGCTCCTGCAGCGCACAAGCTGGAGATGTGCATTTTCCCACCATCAGCTGCGGATGCGCAAGGCCCAAAGTAAACATCAGTGCTCGGTGATAGCATATGGACATGGATCACCATGTGCTGAGTTTCTGTGCCATGAAAAACAGTGGACCCGATCCTACTCTTGCTGCCAGTGACGCAAGTGCAATTTTACATGCTAAGTCCCCAAACAAACACTTTTCCAGCAGTCTTCTACCTTTTGAACTCGGGGCGGGAAGTCCTCCTAACAGGTGGTTGGCAGTGTCACAACCTGGGGCTGGGTTATTCCTTGTGTTTTTTGTTTTTGTTCCCAAGCTCAGCAAAGAAAAACAGCAGTTCATCTTCTCAGCCATATTCTAATACATGAGAGAATAAGTGGAAACTTCTGGTTAAAAATTTCAGAATATTCCTTATCTGAATACCAGATAAGGTTCTGGAGCCAATGAGACAGTCAGAGAATTTGCTTGAAATTAGGGGCTTGGGCACAGGAACTCAAGTTGGGTCAAGACACTCTTCTCCATTTACTGGGTAGTACTTGTCCCACTGTTTGACATAAAGCCTGCACTGAGTAGATGTGAAGATGTGGCAGGGCACACACATGGGGGTTTGAGTCTTGGATTCAATCTTTCCTGGTAACCTTAGGGAAATCCCTTCACCCCTTTAGTGCCAGTTTTCTCAACAATTAAAGGAAGGTAAAAATAGCTTCTTTGTTCCTGGGTTGATCGTTTGAAAACAGCAAGCCTCTATACAAATGAGATTAATATCAGCAATAATTAATTAACCAAATGAATCAACATTATTAGTACTGATCTTTCTACCACCCAGTCGAAAATAGTCCACCCCTGGCCTGGTCGGGTCTAACAAGCCTGGCCTTATTCCACATGACTGGTGGAACCTAGACTTCAGTGCTGCTTTAAATATATTTTATTAAAGGCCTCAACTGGGCCTCAACTTTCTCATCCATAAAATGGATCTAGAAACACACCTACCCAGAAGAATATTAAATAGAAGTTCTATTTTCTGTTATAGAAATGAATATGTGTTGGTGTAACCATAGGCTATCCTAAGTAAAGGCACAGACATACCTAGACACATGTAAATATGCTAGCCAGGGTAACTGGGGGATAACTCATAGGCTCTGGAGTCAGAAAGACTTGAACCTAGACCCAACTTTATCATTTATCAAAATGTCACCTTGAACAAGTTATGAAACCTTGAAATCCTAGTATGTTAAATGAAAAAATAAAATATTGGTAGTTCAGTGTGGTCGTCAGCTCACAATAGTGAATATTAAAGTACCTAGCAAAACGCTTGGCACACAGTAGGTGCTCAATAAATGACAAGTGAAATAAAAAGAACTGCTCTGAGCTCTTTGGAAGACACTTGAATGTTTTTATTAATAAAAACCGGGTGTTTTTATTACCAGCTTTGAGTGAGGGAGACTCTTTGGAGCTTAGTGTAGATGGTGACAACAAAACAAAGACACTTATTCACGTGTGGCTTAGGAAAACTACTTTGCTTGTTTCGTAGTCACTCCTGATATTGACTGTAGCCATTAAATGGGACATACAGTACAGAGCGGAAAACACATCAGGAATCATTCCCTTCTCTTAATTTGGAAATGGTGCGGCATAATGGAGTCAGGGGCCCTGAATTTGACTCTGGCAGTAATTTGCTGGGGTAACATTGGATGACTCACCATTTTTCTGGGCCTTGGTTTTCTCATCTGCAAGAATTTGATATAGGAAATCCTTGAGCAACCTTTTAGCTCTAAAGCCTATAATTACTCATTATCCAAATAGGAGTATGTGTATCAAATTAAAAATGTTACCATTTCATGGTAGGTTCATAGCTGTATATACTGAACTGTGTGGCACAAGATTTAAGAAGGAGTGGGATGGGGGAGCTGGTTGTAGCCACATCGTCCCTGGATTACTCCCAGCTTTCAGTACACAGGGCAGAAGACTGGTCTCCCAGCTAAGGCCAGCCATTTACAGTCCAGAGAAGTGCAGCTCTCTGAGGAAGACTTGAAGCCTGAGAACAGGAAACCCAATGTTATGCTTGCCCCATGAGTCCTCCCTGCCCCTCGGCCACATGAGCCACTGCCACAGCTCAGGCAGCTCCTGAGCTCTCAGGCAGCGGTGGTTCTCTTAAACCAAACCTTGACTTAAAACAATAAACTTAAAATCACGTTAAACAAATTCTCCCTCCCCTCTTATGATTCACATCCAGGAACTCCCAGAGCTGTCCTTGCTCTATCTGCTCAGGGACTGGCACAGCTTTTCTCCTTCCAGATTTCCCAGCATGACATTATCTGTGCTTCTAATCCCCCTCCATTTCTTACAGACTGTCTGCCTCTTAGGATCCACCTTCTCTCTCTTTGTGGATTAGCTCTCTCCTGCTCCCAGCTCTTGGCTGGAGCCTGTCTGGTTCCTTTGCAGCACAGCTCTGCTTTGGGCCCACTTGTCTACTTGGCAGTTGCACCTCACTACTGCTGCTGACCCCTGTGTCCTCAGTGCCAACTCATCCCCCCAGGCTGCCCCCTCTGAGTACCAGGTGACATCTTCTGCCCTTAGAAGCAAATTCCTGGGGCCCATTCCAAACATTAAGACTCAGAATCCACAGCAGGGTAGGGCCTACGAATCTGTATTTTTTAAAGGCTCCTTCACCCAGCTTTAGCAATCCCTATTTTTGATTTTTCAAAATCCTCTCATGTTTATTATCTTAATTATTAAAGAATTCACTGATGTACTGAGGACTGACTATGTGGGTTCTATGCTGGATGACCGGCATACAAAAGGGAATGTAACTTGCTGGGAAAATGGGAATAGGTATAAAAAGATGCAAGAACACAGAGTTAAGGAGTGACTGATTTTTTTCTAAGGTGGGATTAAATTTGTAGATGTTTCCACAGTGGAAATAACATTCAGACTGAGTGCTGATGGATGAGTAAGACTGCCAAGGCGGGAAGGAGAGGCGAGGCTTCCGAAAATATAATGAAGAACAAAAGCAAAGACAAAAAGGTGGAACTTGCGTGATGTGTGGAAAGGAGGCCAAAAGGTCCACTGCGGCTTGACTCTCAGTAAGACAGATAGGGGAGGAATCACCCCCCACTCTTCAGTCTTTGCTTCCATTTTCTTATCTCACAACTACTTTTACTAGGAGTTAATTGCATGAAATGTATCATGACCATGTACTAATATATTAGCAAAACCCTTATTTTGGGTTGATTTTTGGCTTCCTTAGAAATAAACTGAATTGATGAAGGGAAATAATATCATTAGAGGTATTTCAAGATACAGTAGGGTTTCTCAGCTTCAGTGCTACTGATGTTTGAGGCTAGAAAATCCTTTGTTGTAGGGGGTTGGCCCGAACATTTTAAGATGTTTAACAGCATCCCTGGACTTTACCCACCACATGCCAGTACCAATCACCCTTCCCCAGACATGATAAGCAAAACTGTCTCCAGACATTGCCCAATGTCCCCCAAAGGATAAAATCACCCCTGGCTGAGAACCACTGGTCTAAAGAAAAAGAATATGAGCTTTGGAGTCAGACTCAAGTTTGAATCTTGCTATGACACTAGCTATGTGACTGCGGAAATGTAACTCTGCCTTCAACTCCCTCATGTACAGAATGAGAAGTAACCTCTATCTTGCAGGATTACCGTGAGGAGCAAAGGATAAAGTATGTGAAGTATCAGGCAGAGTACTTGGCAGAGTAAGAAATGCTCACAGAGGCGAGTAAGAAATGCTCATAATAGTAGTAGTACCAATAAGAGTCATTCTAGTACTTGTTATTATTAATGATGTTGATATTATTATTTTATTACTAGAAATAAAGCCTGACTGAAGTTTAAAAGTTACAATAAATAAATTCTACTTTACGAAGAGGCAATAACAGGGCAGGTAATGTTGCAATTACATTACCAGACATCACTTCTTCCGGTAATACTTTTTTTTTTTTTTGTCTTTTTCCGTGTCCGGCAACGGATCTCAACCCTCAGTGTCGCCCCCGTACCGGACCGGGACCGGCAACGGGATCGCAGCCCTCGGTGTTGCTCCCGCGCCTCGCTCAGCCAGTGAGCGGGAACCGGTCTGTATGTGGGATCCAAACCCTCGGTGGGAGCGCCACCGCGCTTCCCAAGCGGCGCACTATAGCAGTGCGCAACCGGGCCGGCCCCCGGTAATACTTTTATAGTCCTTCAAGTCTCAATTCTGGGCCCATTTTAGGTTTTTCCAAAGCCTTTCATACTTGGCATAAATAATGGTAATTGTTTATTTACTTGTCAGTTTTCGCTACTAGACTACAAATGCTTAGAATTCCACTTTTCTCTCATATTCAACTTATATCCCTATCAACTAGCAAAGTGGCTCATCAATAAATATTTATTGAAAGACTTCCTTCTTAGATGATATTTTAATGGTCAAATTCAAGAGTAGACTGGATCAAATTTTAATAGATATGCCATTCTACATAACACAGTGATAAGAAGTGTAAGCTATGGAATCAAATAGTGTGGGTTTAAATCATATATCTACCACTAAATTGTGTGACTTCCAGCAAGTTAGGTAATCTTGTCAACCTCAATTGCTTCATTTGACAAGTGGAACAAAACAACAGCATGTATAAAGATGCTTTGAGAATTAAGTGTAAGATAACAAATAAAGATCTATTCTTGGGTCTATAACTAAATCACTCTGAGACTCAGTTGTTCCTTGTGCAAAATGAGGGTACACATACCTGTCCTAACTTCACTTCAAAGTTGCTATGAATAGCAAATTCTATACTGAACACAGACGTGCTTTATACATCTAAAGTTTACAAGTGCAAGGGACTATTGCTAATAAGTATGTTTCTTGGTCAAACATGCTACATTTAGTATATATACATATAATATGCATAAATACTCCCCCAAAATCAAGTTATCTAAAGTTGCTACCTACCTAACCTCTCTTCTATAACACTGATAATAGTAAGACAAGAAATTGGCATGTTTTATTGCTCACTGGAACAAACTATGTTTTGCTCTAGGAGAGCATGGACCAGAAGCTCTTTTTGCAAGACTGGCTGAATAAATTCTACCATTTAAAAAAAAAAAAAAGAAAAAGAAGAAAAAAAACTTAAAAATCCTTATTTTGGTTTGACTCTGCAACTCAGATGAGCAATTTAAGCCAATTCAACATCTGGTCCAGAGGAGCAATTTAAGCCAATTCAACATCTGGCAAAGAATCCAGTATTGGCAATCAAGGAGTTGTGCTAACCCTAGGCACAAAGTTTGCTCTTAAGCAAAATGTGCTCATGTGATTGGAGCACAAAGGACAGATTCCCAGACTTCTAGGAACAGCTTAGGGAGTGCTCAAACCAAACTCTTTTGCTCATGGAGAACTGAGCCAGGTGTACCTATTGTATAAGGACAATTTCCTCTGTACAATGAGACCTCACTATATCTCAGCTGCAATATTCATCCCTCATGGAGGCAATACCACTCAACCATTCACTCATTCACTAAATATGCATGTGTTAAGGGTCCTTCATGTGCAAAGTCCTGTGCGGGCTGCTGGGATATGAGGATGAAATGACAAGGTGCTGAAAGAGTTTACAAGCTAACAGATGAGATGATGTTGTGAATAAAGAGGAAGGCTTGCTTATGTCAGCTTGGAGAGTCAGGGAAGGCTTCCCAGAGGAGGTGGCACTGGATTCAAGATTTGGTGGATAATCAGCATTTGTCTTATAGATAAGAGGAACTGAGAGGAGAGGGGCCTGAGACAGAAATCAGGTTGTTATTGCCTTTTAGGACAGTTGGGGTGCTGGAGCTAAGAACAAACCTGGAACAAAGTTAATGCTACTTTTATAAGCTAGAAAAACATCAGCAGCAGGAGCCCTGGCCAGAACCACCCCCACAAAGTGCAAACAAAACCACCCTATCTTCTGGCTGTCTGCTGGGGAACTTACTAACCAGCACCTTAGGAACAAAATGTTCTGTTATCTTTGATTTTTATTCCCACAAAGTCCTTCCTTCTCCTTTTCCAGAACCAGAAAAAGCGTGAGTTGAGTTTTACTTGCTTCTTTGTTCTTTATCCTCACATCCTGGGCTTTCCTTGGGAATGAGAGTCCAGGGGTATTTCTCCAAAACAGAGTGCTGACCACTCCTGTTAGTCAGAATGTGGGGTCCAAGGTAGGTCATGCCAGGTCAGCAACTAAAGTGACCGCAGTTGCCAGGGCCTGTTTGTGAGAGGCCTGGATGGCATCTGATTCTGACTGCAAAGTTGGGTTCTTACCTGACATGTAGGGATCTCTCAGCACAGAACTCATCTAGCTAGTTCTTAAGGCTGTTTCTGACCTCAACCTATACACAATCTTAAAGAAGTACATCCTGCATTCTGTTACAGAGAGCTGGAGAAGGAAAATTAGGGCAGATTCAGGGAAGGTGGGGAGAATCCAGAAGCCTCAGGTTCTCTCCAACTGCCTATCCAAAGGGAAGACAGTTCTGATAGACACTTCCTACCAGGCAGTAACTCAGAGAGCTTCCATTTATAAACCCCCTACTTTGTGCCAGGCATTGTGATCCCAGAGTGAGAAAACCAAAGGGAGATGCCTCATTACTGTGTGCCCACTATATGCCAGATAGTATGCCAGCTGCTTTACCTGTTTACATCACTCGTTCTCACAGCAATCCTTAGAGGGGACACTGCTCTCGCTGACTGCAGAAGGGAAATGCAAGTGCTGAGAGAAGTCTTATCTGTAAGCAGACTCAGATCTTTAAACCCAGATCTCTGGACTCTGTTGAATGCTCTATCACAGCATCTCAATATGTCTCAGTGGATTCGCTGTCCCAAATAAATACTATTAAGCTACAAACATGAAGGCCATAAAAAAACAATGAAAAAAAATTTCTCCAAAAGGAGTGGGACCTTGTCTGATATGTCCACCCTTGATAATCCCAAGTGCTAGACCAGTAACTGACAGGCTTGCGTGCACTCAGTATACTTGTACATATTTAGAGAATAAGTATTTACATGACTTCAGAACTCTATTCTACATCCTTGCGGGGGCAGAGGCAGGGTGGGAAACGAGAGGAAACATTTGCTTCCAGGTCTTCTCTCTTTCCCAGAGACTCTAGCCCTGAATTGGCTGTAAGGTGAAGGGGTGAAGAGGATGTATGAGAAGGATAAGACTTGGTCAGAATTGTTAAGTAGGTCTTTCCTGTGCCTCAGATGCTGAGAATCCCCTTCCCGTGCCCTTCCCAGCCACTGCTAACATCCAAGCTTAGCCCTTAAAGAATGAAAGGTCCTTACTCTATCTTTCCACTTAAAAAATTACTTTTAGAAAATATGGAGGAAACTCACTGACTTATGAGCACTTATATTTTAAAGGGAACAGAAGGCCTAAGCCAAAGCTTCTGAGGGTAAAATTTCTGTCACTGAGCATTTCCGTTTAGGAAAAAGACGGGGTTTATCTGCCAGTCTCCCCACCTGGAGGTCAGAGCAAGTCCTGGGCAGAAGTGAGAAGGTGTGTTTTGGCAGATCCCTTAGGGAGGGTCAAGAAACTGACGAGGAAACCATAGTGCCTACGGATCCCAAGGAGCAGCCCTCTTTCCTTCCACATGTGCTGGTCCCAACCAAGTGCCTGTTACCCGGCTAGGGGTGGGCAATTGAGACCGTTACCCAACAATAAGTGAAAAAGCATGACAAAGAAAGCTTTCCTGGCCTCATGCAAGATCTGGAATGTCAGGATGACTAGGGAGCAGGAACACTCCACATCTGTCTAGACCTCAAGTTCTCTCTGCACTGGTTCTTAAAACACCAAAATCACGACATTCCAATCCAAAGCACACACTGCTCACACTGAAAAACACTTGCAGAGAAACACCCTTGCTCATAATCAGAATACATTATATACATTTCAACCGATCCACATGTATTATTGGCTGTTTACTAATCCTCAGGCTCTGTGTTAGATCCTAAGGACATAAAGATGACAGGAAAGACAGGTTCACAGATTGATAAGAGCTATCCTGTTTCTGCAAGTCCACGAAATATGGAGAAGAAAAAGACACTTTAATAATCTTCCATATAAAGAAACAGATTAATCTTCACTCTACAGGTTAAGGACATTTGACCTTATTCTTGACTTAACGAGACTTTATTCATTTAATAAACTTACCAAGCACCTATAAGAACCAGACACGGCTCAGCACGAAGGATATAAGATGAATAATATTTGTCCCTTCCCTCAAGTAGTTCACAGTCTAGTGGAAAAGACAAGCAGATAAATCGGAAATTACAACACAATGTGATCATTTCTTCAAATAGAGAAAAGTGATGAAAGGAGCACAATTTAGAGAATTTATAAATAAGCCTGAGTGTTCCATGGAAGGCTATGCAGAATAGAAAGCATCTGATATAGGTCTTCAAGTTAGAGAGGAGTTAGCCAGCGGGAGAGGTAGAGGACCAATCATCCTTAGCAGAGAACACACGTGCCAAGACACGAAGCCGGAAATGCATGGACAGAGTTCAGGGAGCATGATCAGTGTAAGTATTTGAAAGATAACTCTTGGCTATAAGATGAAGTATGAACCACAATATCTTTAAAAGTTTTTTGACCATGATCCATACTAAGAAATTCACTTTCACCATGGCCTAGTATAAACATGCATGTAAAATGGAAACACAGCTTCACAAAACAGTGCTTACTCTACTGTGTGAAATGCCCTGTTTTCTAGCCTGTTCTATTCTATTTTGAAAATTCAATGGTTATTTCCTATTAAATTGATGTCATGAATTATGAATCATAGTTTAAAACAAAACAGTATTAGAATGAAAGGCTTAAGAAAAAATATATGGCTATAGTTGAAGTGACAGATACTGAGAATCAGAACAACCAAATAACAATAACAACAACAATAACTGCAACGGGGATAAAAAAGAAGATAGAGTCATCACACTTTCCTGTAATTCTCTGTTTCATTGTGTGCTTTCCCATTAACGTTTGGGGAAAAGACCTTAATAGGACAGAAGGCAAATATATCATAAAAGTAAATCTATTAGACTTATAAGAGCTTTGGAGTACCATTTGAAAATAACAGTATAGGTAAGCACACCACCATCATAACTGCCAGTTGGAAGTTAATATCTTTTCCAAATTTCCAGTAAAACCAAAGAACTATCCAGACATTTTTTCAGATCAATCTTTTCTATTATGATGTATGGAGAAATTAATAAAATTATAAATAAGTTCTATATTTGACAAAAAAATCTATAATTCTATCTAAATGCCTAACTGTAAAAAGGCTTTTTATTATTATAACTTGAATCACTAGTCCTTGACTTCTGCTTAAAAAAACAGAAAAGAGGTGTCTTAGGTTCTGTGGAATACTCCATTTGAACACAGCACTGGTTGTAGCATGGAATTAGAGATTACCTAGTCCTCCTGCATGAGCATCAATGAGCGAGGCTGCCACAGCAATCCCAGCACGAAGGCCAAGGTCTTTCGCTGCCTCTGGTGTGAGCCCATTTCCGAGAGAAGCTCCAGGAGACAGAACTTGGTTTCCTGTATAGACATGACAAAAAACAAACACCCATCAGTCTGAAAAACACAAAAGCAAACAGGATCTTCTTAAGAGAAACTCTTTGCTCCCTCCTCCCTCCTCTGCATTTTCTCAGCATCACAAAGATAGAAACCATGCAGGTACCAAGTCCCTCTGCTCATTTGGTGACTCAGGCGTGTGTGCTTGGTACCCATGGGTCATGCTCTGGGATGCTTTACAAAGCCAGGAGCTCTAAGGTGTCATTCAAACCAGAAAAAGATTCCATTAATGGGAAAGTCCAAAAGGAATATAAACACAGTGGCTTCCTGAAGACCAAGTTAAGATGCTCAAACTGCTGCAAAATGGGCTTCCTACCACAGCAGCTCTAAACACGTAAACACAGACACGTCTACACATTCCCTGATGAACATATAAGGAGTCGAGAAAATTTGCTTGTGCAGTTGCTTCCTGACAGAGGACTGGGGGAGGGTGGCATTTCGTACCTATAAAGAATTTCTTGAAAGTTTTTCTCAGCTGGAAAAGAGTTACCTAATCTTTACAAACTTTACAGGGCTGAGACTTGCACAACCATAGAACACAATTTGAATTATGTTCTTTGGAGTTGTGTAATGCAGTGATCCTAATATTTCAAATGACCTTGAATTCTCGCAGTCAGTCAGGCCTTCAATTAAGAATTTACTGATTTTCTTGCTTTGTCTGGGCACTGTGGGCTGTAAAAGGTGGTCCTTGCCCCCAACCTAGTTAGGAAGACAAGTTAAAGACACAGAGAACTATGCATGTCAGAACAGGATGAAATCCATCGCTCCCAGGTGTTTAACAGAGCCTGAGCCTTCTCTCACCCCGTCCCATCCTACTCCCAAGAATTCTGTAATAAGTATTTCTGTGCTGTAGGGAGTGGGAAGGGATTGACCCATATCGTATATATGCTAAGTGATGGATCTTGGACGTGACCGGTGTCATTTTACACACACTGAGCACAAAATGGCCTCCAGCCCTTCTATTAGGAGAAACAGAAACTCCTCTACTTCCACATGGGTGCAACCTTCCACCTGATTGCATCAGCAGTCTCATCCTTCACACCAGCACCGAACCCTCCCTGATGATGTCAGCCTTCCCTACATCCTATATAAGCCCTCCCACCTCTGGTTGCTGCTCTCCACTTTGAGTGCAGCCCGGCAGATTCTTTTCCTTTAATAAAGCTTGACTGGTAGCCGACGTTTGGGCTCACTCTCTTTCACTAAGATCGCTTTAAGCCCTATGATTCTAGGATCCCGACTGTGTGGTCAGCAATTTGCTAGGTGCTAAGACACCACTTGTTAATCATTCTATGGAGCTCCAGGGCTGGGCAGAGGTGTTCCAGGACTTCTGGGGGTAGAGGCGAGGCTGGGGGTTGGGGGTGGTGGGAGCAGAGGGAGAATGGGTCAACCAACCTCCCACTAAATGGAAACAAAGCACCTCCACAACACCATTTTTATCCATTTTAAGTAATTAGCTTCTATCTATAATGAATTTGAAAAAAGTTTAGCGAAGAGGAAGAAGATGGAAACCACTGCCACGGCTTCTAGAGCTTCACTGTCCAATACAGTGCCAGTAGGCACCTGTTGACTGAACGCTTGAAATATGACTGGAGTAACTGAGGGGCTAAAGTTTTCATTTTGTTTAATTTTAATTTCAATTTAAAAGCTGATATTCAGTTCAGTTACTGAAAAACTTAAGTGTGCTTGGAACAACTTGGGTATGCAAATCTACTTTTTCAACATTAATTTAATAAATCTAAACCAGGTATTTCTAATGCAAATCTAGTGTCTGAATTGAGAGGTGCTAAGTGGAAAATACATACCAGATGTCAAAGATTTTGTATGGAAAAATAATTTTTATATCAATTACATACTGAAATGATAATTTGGGTATATTAAATATGACATCTTAAAATTAATTTTACCTACTTTTTTTTACTTTAACCTGGCTACTGAAAAACTTAAATTACATATTTGGCTCATATTATATTTCTATTGGACAGTGCTGGTACAGATAAGGTTAAGATGCTCAAATGATAAGCTAGAGAGCAAGAAAATCTTTAGTCTGTTTTGAACACCCAGAGTTGCAGAAACCTGGAAGAGAGCAGTGCCCTTGGCTCTGGACAATATCTTAATTATGTCACTATGTCTAACATCTAACACATAACAGACTTCATTCCCATTTGCTGAGCACGTTCATGCCAAGGACATATCATGCATCTCACACTTCATTTTCATAACAACCCTCTGTAAAGGGTACAATAGTTCCCATACTGTCCCCATTTCATAGATGGAAGGGGAAATTGAGATCTGCATAGAAAAAGTAATTCCCCACAGTCACATGGCTTAAGAGCTGGAGACAGGCCACGGATTCTACTCTGACTGATACCAAAACCTGGACTTTTATTCATTACATTACCTTTTGGAGCAGATATTTTAAAAAATAATTTGTTTTGAATGAATGAACATGCATTACGCATGTTTAAAAAGCAGCACCATTGGAAAACCTTGTCCATTGAATTCAGATTTTTTTAGAAAAGGGTTAATTTCCATAGGAAGGTCAAAATGGAAACACTGTTCCCTTCATCCCCAATCTCTACAAACATAAAAGGTGTAATTTTCATAAAAAAGGTTTCAGACAGAAGGCAGATTAGCAGGGTGGGGTGCTCTTCCAAGTCTTCTCTATGGTCATTTAGAAAGAAACCTTAGTTGGTAAATGAGCTCAATATGCTTCTTTGTCCTCTGGGCTCACAGCACGAGGCTACCGACCACTGGGAGGCAGAGTCCTGGGAGTGCAGGCAGAAGATCTAGAGCCAAATCATGTGCTGTAGGACCACAGGTAGCTTTCTCAGCAGAGGAAGATTCCTGAGCAAAGACCAAGAAAGAAGGGAGAAGGGATTCCTGAGGAACTGTCAAGGGGATGAGTACACGAGAACACAAGCTGGGGTGAGGATGGGTGGGGCAGAGGAAGCTGGAGGAGCAGTGCAGGCAGGGCCTTGTAATCCACACTAAAAGTGTTTGAATTAATCACAAAGACTACTGCAAACCACTGAGGGAGCATTAAGTCAGGAGGAAGGTGATTAGATTTGTGTTTTTTAAAAGCTCTCTCTGACAGCATTATAGTAGAGGATAGACTGGGGTTAGGGAAAACAGTTGTGAAGCTACTTTGGTAATCAGAGAGAAAAGATTAGGGTCCTCATTAAGGTATTGGTGACTGGGATGTAGAAACAGAGGCAGATATGAGAGATTTTGTAGGGCAAGAAACAACACGTCACGGTGGTTGCTTGAACAGAGGGAGTATGGTAGAGACAGAGATGCCACAAGCTGGATCCCCCGTTAAGGACAGACTTGCTGCCCAGCTGAAGACAGTAAGGTCAGCAGACAGCCTCCAGCTGCCAGCTCCCTCAGGACCTGCCTCTGAGCTGCCTTGCCAAGGTGATGCCAGGGTAGCCCGCACCTGGTCACAGGGGCACGCACACCAGAGCACTCTGCTGGGTTGGCCATGGCATCGTTGGACTGCATCAGGGTTCCACTTCTCCCTCTGCCCAATACCCCTCCCTCCTTCCTTTCACAGATGACTACCCTGAAGACTCGTAAACATCTCACACCCCTAAATGTGTCTCAGCCTTTGCTTCTGGAGAACCCAACCTAGGGCAGTGAGCCAGCCTTCTCTTTAGTCCAGTGGTCTAGGAATGAGAGGAAATATACACAAAGATGAACATCCCTCCTTTCCATTGGAAACACAGCCTTCAGGAATAGTCTATCTGGACCCCAAGCAGGAAGGACCTTTGTCTATCTAGAGACCAAAAGGAAACAGCTTGGCATAAGAGAGGATGACAGAAATAGATGAGAATCCCTGAAAAATCATCCCTTCAAAGCCACACTTTATCAGCCAGGGGTGCACTGAGGGGAATAGAGCTGTCAGAGGTAAGCCTTAGTGCCTCTTGGCAACTTTTCCTGAAATAATCTTTGTTTTGCTTTTCTTTTGTCGTAAGGTTAAGTTGATCATAGCATCACTTTCCCCAGAATTAATCAAGACTTCACTGCCTCAACATCTGCAATCTCTTTGAGGCTTCATTCAACCACTGCTTCACACATTTTAACAAACATTTCAGTAACAGTGGTAATAATGATGGCCCACATGGATTTCCACTTGCCACATGCCAAGATCTAGGTGCTGGGGTAAGTGAAAGAGGCGCCTGAGACCTCAGAAGGTTCACGCAGTAACCTGGGACAAAGAAAATGGACAACCAAGATTTTTAGGAACATGCAGACAATGCTAGACAGGTGAAATATACACAGTGTTCCCAGAGAAATGGGACCACTTAGGCTAGCCCAGGAGTGTGAATGAAATCTTCAGGGTGAAGACATCTGAGTCTGGTCTGGGGAGACAAGTGGGATGCTGCTGTTTTCAGTGCTAGAATTCTCTGGGAAATCGGCTGCCGCTAGAGCCAAAAGCGGGGTCACTGTAAGGAGCCCTGAGGGGAACAGAGAGCTCACGGTGTTCAGCAGAGAACTGGGCAGACTGGACAAGAGAGGAAGCAGAGGACTTTAGGCAAGTCTAGGCAGAACGACGAGGACCTGCCCGCGAATGGCCGTGAGCGCTCAGATTTGTGTTCTAAGAAGATAAGCCTGCAGTGTGAAGAAAGGCTAGAATGGGAAGTAGGCTTTATCCTTAAAACAATCAAGCCAGTTGAAAATGTGGACTGCAGAACATTACATAGGTAAGACTTCACTCTAATGAAAACAACAAAGAAGACAGATGGACTATTTGTAAAAAATACATTCCTAGGGGAGAAAAATACAGAAAATAGGTTATCTCTGGGTAGAGAAACTATGGGTGACTTTTCCCTTTTTACTTGCTTATAATTTCTAATTGTTCTAATGTTTAAAGGTGTTTTCTCCCTTAAATCTGGTCAGAGTAGATAAATTATGTACAACTATTAAGCAGAATCCCACATAGCCATTAAAATAAATGAGGTTTA